CTTGCTCCTAACGGGTTCTGAGATGGGGCAGCACTTGCATCCCAGGCACCTGTGCCCACGGATACCCCGCAGCTCCCAGGGGTGGGCAGCGCTCCGGAGCTGTGGAACGACTGTACTGGGGAGGAGCGGGAAGCGGGAGTGGGAATGCTGCTTGGTGCCAAGGCCACCTGCACAGGGAGGAGCAGGATGGGGTGGCGGGAGGCGCATGGGCAGATGGGGTGATGCAATGGGGCCATGCAACAGGGTGATGTGACAGGATGATGCGACGGGAGGGAACGGCACCAAGGAGGTGTCGCCAGGCTCAGGGAGCCTGCGGTTGCTCGTGCTCTGTTGAACGGCCGGGCCCCGCACTCACGATTCACGACTGTCCCCACACACGTGGAACCACAGCCCATTCAGAGCCAGCTGCTCTCTGGGCCGGGCATTTCACGTTCTGTGGCAAGTCAAAGCTGCTCTTATTTGTTCCTGTGTCTCTGTAATAAAAGCCTTCTCTATGCGGATATTTTTTCTCTGTAAGAAGCCAAAACTCTCGGTGCTGCTGCCTGTGGCCTGGCCTCGGTGCCGGCAGCACCATGCGCGGTGCCAGGCGGTGGCTGCGCTGCCACAGCTGGCACAGGCGGCAGAACCGGCACAGCTGGCACAGGCAGCCGGTCCCGCCGCCCGCGGCGCAGGAGCCTGCGGCGGGGGTGCAGCCTTCGCCCTCCTCCGTGCAGCAGTGAGGGGCCCTGCCCGGCCAAGCTGCCCGTCCCCACACCCCCGCCGCACTGCAGCCCTGGGCGTCTACCCACATTAACAGCATGTGAGGCCAAATTCTGCTGCTAGAGCTTGACGTGAGCCGGATTGCGGCACGGACTTTCTGTTTTTCTTTTGGAACTGTGATCTGGCCCTCAGTGCAGGGAATAAGGAACATGAGGGAGGCCTGCAATGTTACCGAGACTGGCGAGCAAGGGGCATCCTTCTGCCCCGCCAAGGACAGGGGCCGGGCAGGCCCAGGAGAGCGCCAAGACTCAGACATCCACATGCACCTCGGCTCGTCCTTGCCGACAGCCTCACCGGCCCTGGGACGAGGCGCCCCTGGCCGTGCCGCCCCGGGGAGTCTTTAGCTTTTGGCTATTTCAGTCCCCGCTTGGGTCCCGCTTGGGCAGGCAGCCGATCGGGACGGACCTTCCTGCTTGGTGTTCAGCTCTTTTTGTAAACTCGAATCTGTCATTGCTCTAAGTACAATAAAAGGCAGAAACGTGTTTGTTGGAGCGCTGCTGTGTGCGTGTATTTGGCTTTCCTTTCAGTTACATGCATGGACAATGTTATCCAGTGTGACAAATATTAGCTATTGGAGATGCCAGGAATAATTGGGTCATTTTTCAGCGGACAAGGCTGTATGTTGGGTTATTCATAGGCTACTTTTCACAGTCAGATTTTGCTATTAATCACCTGTCTGAACTGTTCATTCATTTACACATCAATTGACTAATCTTTTCAGATATGCCTCTTGGAGTCTTTTAAAATTGAATTACATTTGATTAATGTATTTCTCAAAGCAAGGAGCTAATAAAGGCCAGTGTCCTCCTCTCGTTGTGCTTGGTCGGTGTCTTTGCGGGCAGTTGTACCCCTGTTCTGCTGCAGCCCCATTGCGCTCTGCACGGCATGCGGAGGACGCTGCTGTCAGCGCAGTGCAAAGCCCAGATGTGCATGCTGCACAAAGCTGGACTTGGTCACTCTTAAATGAGACAAACCAAAGAGCTTGGGGAAAAAAAAGAAAATCCTCCTCCTTCCCCGTTAGCTGGAAATGCCTCGTGTGTGGTTGCACAGCAGCAGTGCATGTGCCAGTACCTTGCAGCGCACAGGGAAAAATGTGCTTTGCGGTACAGCCTGCTGTGCATGTGCAGGATCATGTTTAGTCATCCGCAGGGAAGCTGGCCCCAGACCTTTGAGTCACAGCTAAAAATAAAGATGTCATTTTCAAAATTAATCCTTAGTAGATATTTCTATATGGAAAATGCTGCTGGTCACGGGCTATGCTGGCATGCCAGGTATCTGCTGACGCCTCTGGGGCGCAGATGGCCACCGATGTCCCCGGGACACCCGGGCCCTGTGGCTCCGCGCTGCTCTCCCTGTGTCTCAGCTATGCTCCGGCCTCGTGGCATTTGCCCGGGTGGGACTAGTGACAAATATTCGGCCTGTCCTCGACGGGCTGGCTTGGACCTACCCTGGCAGCCGGGTACTGCGGGCGCCCGACCGAGCATCCGCTGCGTCACTAGGACTAGCACTGTTTGCTAGGACTGTCCTGAGCGCAGCCAGCAGACGATTTTTAAAAGCAGTGCGACCTTCCGTTTCACTGAGCGCTGAGGATGCGGCTGGGCCTCTCACGTGGGCCAGGGCTCGTGGCTCTGCAGCACGGACACAGCTGTGCCGGCTGCCCTGAGCCCGGCTCCTGCACGCGGGCAGCGCTGGGACGTGCTGCCCTAACCCGGCCGGCCGGCTGCACCCGCCAGGAACAGCCGCGGGGACCCGGCTGGCAGCGCGCGGACACAGGGAGCCGCCGACACGCAGGCATGCGCCTGTGTGGGTCCCCGTGCACATGTGTGCATGTAATGTGTTTGCATGTGCACATGTACGCACAGCCCCCATATGCATGAGTGTGAGGTCCTGTGCACATATGTGTCTGCATGTGTGTGCCCATGCACACATGTATGTGCATGACTCTGTGTGTGTGTGTGCGCCAGCCCATGCATTGAGAGCTCTGCAAAGGCCTCGTGCTCCTGACCAGAAGCAGCTCCAAGCTGGCCCAGGGGGTGCCCAAGGCTCCTTCCTCGACACCGTGAGGCTCCTGGTGTGACCAATGTCCCTACCAGGGCACGGGGCCTGGGCCCAGTGGCGTCTCGCCCACTGCTGGCGCTGCTTCCCGGAGCTCTGAGCCGTGGGTAAAGGCATGGAGCTCCCAGGCCGCAGAGTCGCCGCTGGGTCACACTGACCGGGGGCTGTGACCCGCTCCCAGCTCGTCCCCGTCCCAAAGTGCTGCGGCTGGCGGCTTCCTCCAGCCACCCTGAGAGCGTGAGGCAAACAAAAGCACCGCAGAGTTTATTGCTCCAAGGCATCCTGGTTTTTGCAGCCACTCACAAGATATTTTCCTGCAGCAGCCGTGGTTTAGCGGCACAGATGCTGCCCCAGCCCAAACCTCTCCTGTGTTGTGTGTGCCCCGGCCTCCCCCTTGCTGGGCCCAGCAGCAGCCCTGCAGCGCTGGGCTTGGCGTGTTTTCCTCTGCTGAAGAGCTGCCAGGTTGCACTTACTGTGGAAAAACATTTTTCTTGCTCAGATTCAATGCAAACACTCGTGCAGCGCTGGCCACGGTGCCACTGAGCACCTGGCTGCATCTGCTGCGTGGGAGCTCCCACCTCCCTGGGGACAGAGCAGGTTTGGAGCAGTGGCCCCAGCAACCCCGAGCCCCAGGGATGGGGCCTGGTCATTGCGCTACCGCGGCCAAGGGCAGGGCCGTGTCCATGACC